CTGCATTTCAGGGGAAACACATTGCTTGCCTAGATGGTAGTGAGTTATATAGTAACTCCACCCAAAGGACCAACTTTTGTGCCACGTGAATGGCAACTGACTAGTTTCTTCTCTATTCACTAATATTTTGAGAACTGCACAGGCAATATATAAATATGAAATCTTTTGAAAGTCTGATTTTCTTTGGTGGCAAAGAAGGCATTCTGCTCTGTGTTGGATGTTTCAACTGGGTAGAGGGAGAACACATTTCCCAGCTCATCTGGAAAGTTTGAAATAGTTTGGAAACTGCTGCCAAAACCAAGAAGAATAAACAGATGCACTACTTGAGCTTGGATGGTAAGAAGGTCTCCCTGCTGAAATCTTAGAAGAAAAGTTAAAACAGGAAAAAGGGGCTGGATCATATCCAAGACTGCTCTAGTCCAGGTGGCAATACTGTTCAGTGCTCTTTCTGATATCAAGATGACAGGTCACCAGCGATAGCCTTCCACTTGTGAATTTTTCACATCTTTTAAAAGTCAACCTTATCTTGATAGACCTCACCACATCTTAGCAAATAGGAGCAAATTCTTTCAGACTCCAGGCTCTCATCATGGTTGCACTGGATGACCAGTTGTATTTTCATGCTTATATTTTAATGTTACGCTATTCACTGACTGTTTTTACTATTGCCAATTTTTGTGCTGGCATATTTCTTCATCATTTATTTGTCAGAGGTGTATTTGCTAGAGGCCAGTCAATGCTGGTTCAAACCCTACATATTTCAATTATTACCAGGCCTCTATCAAAGTGGCTATCTCTTCCTATATTCTATTTCCCAATCAGTACATTTGGAAGTCTGATGTGGAACACTCACATTTTTAAACTTTTCCTCTATACAGAAAGAGTTTTGACTTTCAGTGCCCTCTACAATGACCAAATAATTGAAAGAAGGACACTTAACTCTAGATTGTTCTCTCTGAGGGGTTTTTTTTGGCATGGCCCCTCTTTCTCAGCTGTCCATAACAGCACTGAGCACATTAAAGACATAGATTCTCTGCAAGGTAATCACATTTGCTCATGGGGCTAAAGGTGATACACCTCCACCACACCTTTTCATCAATCCTGAGGCCAACATGTTCTGCTGGTTTATGGGTTAGAGACTATATATGTACAACAAGTACACAACTAAATGTTCTCCATAATCAAGGAAGAAAAGCGAGTGTATGGGGAAGGTGGTTAATTCTGCCTAGGCCCATCTTGTGCCAATCAACAATGATTCCTGGATGTGGTGTTAATCCCAAGGGAGGAGAGTCTGTTTGCATTAATAATTGCTCTGGGGTGTTGATAAGGGGTATTCCTCAAAACGATTAGCTCTGGTTTGTGCTATAATATAACCATCTATAGATTTAGCCTTCAGTGCTGTATGCATAAAATGTCTGCAGTTCTTAGTATCTTGATAGATTTTAGTTATTAGAGGTTTAACCATGAAGAACATCTCGATCTGTAATGAGATCAAAACCTAAAACGCAAATATCTAAATATTTCAAAGTATTATTATGTAGAACCAGTAGCATCAGGTCTGATTTATTCTAATTTATACCATAGACAGACAGGACACCACTTTTATATATCAGTAAAAGGAAATTATGAATGGAAATTTCTGGATTATTTAAAAAGTTACAGTCTGAATACTGCAGAATCTTATATTCTTGCCTTTCCCATTACAATACCTTAAATATTTTCAGGGACAGTAATGAAACAGGAAAAGTTCTAGAGTCAGGCTTTTTTTTAAAAAAAGGAGAAAGAGGACATTCTTGACATGTTCTGCAAAACAAATTTAACCAAAGAGAAAACACACTATGCATAATCATACATGATCTGGAAATGGCATAGGATGTACAAACCTTTTGGGAAATTCAAAGGAATCACAGTCACAATAATAACAGCTGGATTCTATTTATTTTGAATTAAAATAAATACCTAATTAAGAGTCCAGTTCTGGCATTTTGATGGCACCATATGAATCCAGCCTGAGTTGGATGCACAGTTATTGAAAGAACAAACTGTAAACTATGGGCTCAAATCACCGCTAAAGTCTTAGCAATTACATTCATCAAGGGAAGAGGCCTATAATAAAATGCTTCAGTTAGTGCAGCCCAAGATTCTTTTTTGTTCTGCTTCATACTGCTTGCTTACATTTGTGTGCTCTGAATATATCATCCCAAAATGTGTACAGGAATAGAACTATGAGTCAAGCATGTTCTTCGAAGCTACACCCTTGCAGATGGACATCCAAAAATACCAGTCCTAATGTTTATGGGCAAAGCCATAATTTCCAACACCTACTCATGCTATTCCTTTTGTTGTTTCCAGAGCTTTGCTTGCAACATAAGTTGGTCCACACCATTAAATGAGCACTGAGTGCAAAATCATTGTTTCAGTTTTATTTTAAGTGGATGGATTGCACTGTGTTTTATTGCAAATACTCTATTAGGGTATAACACAGATTATCTAAAAGATTCCTGTGT